TAGCCTTATATAGTAAAGTAATTTAGAAATGTCGATAATTAGTATCAAACAATCAAAAAAAGTACGGTATGTGATACATATATAAACTGAAAGTCCGTATTAATAAAAATTGGGAGGTGCAGAGATAAGTAGTTTAGAAGATTATTACCGTCTAAAGTTATTATGTTGCTTCTTGAACAAATATATGAAACAGCTTTTTGGAAAAAAACACTGTCAAAAAAACAAACTATGACAGACTCACCGAATTGGACAGGTAATTTCGGAAATGAAATAATTTATAGTATCCAAATACGATTTAAATGATAGTTAATAAAATAGTGAATACAGTCCTTTAACATACACGGTTATATATATTTCTTGATATTAGGTAGAGGTTTGAATAGATCCTGTAGATACATAAAGTACGTGGGTTAAAGCATTCAAATACGATATAATCATATATTCCTTAAGAAATAGAATACAGATATGAAATGCAAATCTTCGTCAAATATGATTATATACGGTTTCAAAGTATAGTTTGATCGTATAGTCAAAATGAATATATGTAATCATATGATTATGAATTATTGTATGAATATGATCATAAATACTGTAAGTTGAACTCAGAACTTATCATATGGCATGAAATTCACAGTTTATATGCTAATAGTTAAGAATAGAGTTATTTTCCATAATTCCAAGAAAAAATAATTCATCCAGCTATGCGAGAATCCTAGAAAAGTGAAACTAAAAACCTCGGCCTGAAAGTAACGTCCAGTCCGTAGCGCACGGTGTCAGTGTTGTTCACAGATAGTTGCTTTCCCGTTCTTGATTTGTCTAACGGCCATTCTAATTTCTTCCTTCGTTGGTGGGTTGACATCTATAGGAAGATCTATGTGTGCTGCTTCGATGTCCGATGGATTCATTGGAGCCGGCCTATTCAGGAGTTCCTCGAAGTATTCTACCCATCTGTTACGCTGTTGTTGAATTTCGGTGATTGGCTTGCCTTCTTTGTCTTTGACCGGCCTCTCTGCTTTACTGTATTTCCCTGCTAGTTTCTTCGTTGTATCGTGGAGCTGTTTCATATTTCCTTCTCTAGCAGCTCTTTCTGCCGTCGTTGCTAGTTCCTGCACGTATTTCTTCTTGTCGGCTCTAATGCTCCTCTTCACTCGTTTGTTTGCTCCTATGTATTCAGCTTGTGCTTGGACTTTCTCTGCTCGTGTTCGGCTGTTGTTTATTGCTGCCTTCTTGTTCTTCCTTTCTTTGATCTTGTCCAGTGTTTCTGTAGAGATTCATTCCTTATGATGATGTTTCTTTAGACCCAGAACCGCTTGACACGTTGAAGTTAATGCTTCCTTGATGCCTTTCCAGTTGTCCTCCATACTAGTTTCTTCTTCTTTCAGTAGATCTTGTAAGGCTTGGAACCTGTTGTTGAGAGCTATCTTGAATTCATTGAGTTTGTCAGTATCTCGAAGGAAGGCTGTATTGAACCTTTGTAGTGCTGTTTGTCCACTTGTCCAGTTCTTTTTTAGCTTCAGTTTTAAATTGGCTACAACTAGGTGGTGATCTGAAGCTACGTCAGCCCCTCTCCTGGTTCTCACATTTTCCATTATCCTTCGGAATTTTTTGTTGATGCAACGACTGTTGCTATCATTGGTGGGTGCATAACATTGGATAATATTCATTAAGATCCCCTCTTTCTTTGTCTTGAATGATGCTTTGATGATTCTGGATCCGTGAGATTCCCATCCTACAAGTGCATTTCGTGCTACTTTGGACAGCATAAGAGCGACTCCCTGAGTGTGTGGAGCATTGTCCTCTTCGTGACCGGAGTATAGCAGCATCTCTCCCGTAGCTAGCCTTTTCTATCCAGCTTGGGCCCAGTGGGTTTTGCTGATTCCCAGTACTGCTAAGTTGTATCTCCTCATTTCCATTGCTATTTGACTGGTCTTCCCGGTCTCCCACATTGTACGAACGTTCCATGTACCCATAAAAATTTTTACTCTGGTTGTAAGAAGGGGCATCGGCCTCATGGCTTCCGAAGGAGCTCGGCTTTCACCATGAAGCGTCATAATTCTTCTAAATGAAGACCTTCTAACTCCCAGGGCAGAGTTAAAATGGTTTGGATTATTTCTTCTGGTAAGCGTTTTTTTAGCGAGTTAGTTTTCTACGGGATGGGGACGTTAACCCCATGCCCAACCCTCCTCCTTTACCCGGGCTTGGGACCGGCAGTAACCCTATAAGAGCTACAGGCGAAGTTCTTGAACAAATACTATATGAAATTTGAAGTAAGTTAGGTTTTTGAGGGGTTCGACGTAGAAAATCTAATTGGACCCAAGCCTTCTTTTCCAGTATTTACACCTACTTCAGTAAGTGATGTGAGTTTGGGTAGTGTGGTCTTGTTAGTTTTATTTTAAGTGACGTGTCTACAATACTTAGCCAGCCGCATTTCTCTGTGTTGAGCTACAACCTTCAGCGTTTCTATCAGTTGTCTACCTTGTTTGGTCCTTGTTAGATTGTTTGCATAGTACTACGTACATTGCGAATGTTAGTCTTATCAATGACTTTTAATTCATCAGCGTCAAGGTAGGTCTTTCCTGTGTTAAAGCAGCCGCACGTAATGTTAATGTAAATTGTATAAAGTAATGAACCCACGACACTATCCTGCACAACACCACTGGTTATTAGTCAAAGTGTAGATGTTAAAGAGTTAATTTTGGTTATTTTTTAGCTGCTTATGAGAAAGGACTTGATTAATCGCAATAGGGGTTTTGTAATTTCAAGTGACTGAAGTTTGTTGATTGGAAGGCTATGAGGTACTTTATCAAAAGCTTTTTTATTATTGAAATATAGTATAAACACTTGTTTCTTTTGGTCACGTATGCAAGTAGCCTCGTTAAGGAAGTCTATCAGGCATGCACCGTAGGAGCTTGTTCTAACGGGGCCGTGTTGTGACGGGTTTATTAGATGACCGTAAGTTGGTGCTCAGATAGTTGATTTTATATCAATTTTTCCATTATGCGTGGTATAACTGAGGTGATATTCATGGGTCTCTTGTTTTCGATCTCGCTTCTCAGTCGTGATTTGTGTTTGGAGACAAGATACGTTACCTTCTGGGTTTCAGGGTATGTATTTACCTCTAAAGATAATGTGAACCTTTTGAGCAATGTCATTTGTATGTCCAGTCTATCAACCATGGTCTGCAAAAGTAGAAGATATGGATAAGCTGATCATACATGTCTTTGAGACATTTATCGGGCATCGCGGACTGATTGAAGATAGGCTCAAGGTACTTGGCGAATCGGCTGTCGGTAGATAATCTTTATTGACGGAGATGGAGAAAGTTATTTCATGTAAGGGCAACTTGGAAGAAATTTAGGTGCAGTCAAACCAAAGTGATGCGGTTAGAGTGATAACTGTGATCAGAGTTTGGAGACTTCTAGTGACATGGCTCGCAATCTTTCTCGGAACTCCAAAATTCTTTCATATATAACGTTTTGTATTCTATCTTTTTG